TACAAGAAATAAGGAAATGAACGGAAAATAAATAGATATAGCATCTACTCGCAATCCTCTTGTGGATTAGGCTCTGGAACCTGGTCTTCTTAATATGAAATAGTTAAATAAGGGATGAGCTACACTAGCCCAGTAAGAATATCATACTATATCACCGACACAGAAGTAAAAGTTGGTATAAACTTAAAAACCTTTAATGGAGCACTAAATTTAGCAAATTCATTTATCAATCATAAAAATCATTTACCGTTCACTTACCGTAGTGGAATTCATAAAAATAATCTATACAGACAATAATATTATACAGATCATGATTTCATATATAATCAGCAATCATAGCACATATTATAATTCTATACCCATCATCGATAAATTAAACAATAATTGTTATTCTTTTCACCAGCCTGCTGGTATCCATGGGGGTTCATAAAGATGTCTCCGCTACACGTGAACTCTTTCATTTAATATTCTCAATTACGGGTCATTCCTATACCCCGTCCAGTATGAGTACTAATTTACCAAATCTCAATACTTCGTCCGGTATAAGGGTAAAGCAGATCGTCCTCATACCTCGTCTGGTATGAGTACCAAATTATCAAGTCTACATACTCCGTCCGGTATGAGACAACATTCACGATAGGGTTCCCTATGTCCCCGATCCGTCCACCATCTCTCAGGATATCTAGTAAGGCTGTCATTTCATCTATTCATTTCATCACACAATTTTTACCGTTTAATCTTCTTTTTCCCAATTTAGTAGTAAACACATAGAATAAACCATACTTGTATTCAAAGTCATAAAAAAAATTAATAAAATACCATCATGCATATAAACTGTAAAAACAATCAAGAAACAACAATAGATAATTTCCGATTCTGGCTCTATTAGCAATCCGTAATTAATTATGCACATTTTCTAAATTCACACAAATATCGTATTATTATTTATTTAGACTTCAATTGTATGATAAGGAATAAGGTGGGGGATCTTTGCTCAATTTGATGTCTGAAAGCTACGTTGTTTAACTGCGCCTACGGACGATTTTCGAGTTTTCTGAATTTTTTTTCGGGAATTAAAATGCGCTAATAGTACCTACAAATGTCCAAAAAATTTAAAATCGGTCACAAGGCCCACTTGGCCAATTTTAGAGTTCCGGCACAGCGGCTTTGCCGTGCTCCGGCGACAACACCATCGTCTGCAGCGGCAGCTCGCCTCAGGTGGGCTATTTTTGGCCCTTTTTGGCCAAATTCGGCTGATTTTGCATCGATCTCTGTGAAAAAATACATTAAAGAGTTTCGGTTAGTCGAAAAAATATAAAAAATCAAAACTCACCGGTGGCAGGGCTCTCTAGTGCGGCGGCTCCTCCGGCTCACGTTGCGGTTGGGTGTTTTGCTTCGGTCAATCTGTAGAGAAGGACATGGTGATTACAACAGTAGAAAAATTACACAGTACAAAACACAACCTAGACCTAGGTAGGAGGTATCACTATAAATTGTATATCCACTCGATCCGCTCGGCAAGGCCAATACAGGTGTAGTAGTCCGTCGCTTCTTTAGTTCTGAAAAACTTCTTTCATAGTTCTCGTTTCACTCAAACTTGACATTTTTCTTTGTGGTCCGAGTCAGAGGAGAAACTAGACTAGAAAGCTCTTCTACAAACATGCGTTAATAACCTGCCATTCCCAAAAAACTACGAATCTCTTTAATTGATATCCAGTTTTCCCAACCAAGCACTGCTTCAACCTTTTTGGGGTTTACTGACACTCCATCTTTTGATATGATGTGTCCCAAGAATGTAGTCTATTCAAGTTAGAACCCACACTTACTCAACTTTGCATACAGTTTCTTTTCTCTGAAAACCCACAAAACTTGAGTCAGATGGTGGACGTGTTCCTCTCTACTTTTTGAATAAACTAAGATGTCATCATAAACACAATAACAAACTGATCCAAGAATTGTCTGAAAACCCTGTTCATCAAGTCCATGAAGATGGCTAGAGCATTGGTTAGTTCAAGTGGCATGACTAGGAACTCATAGTGTCCGTACCTAATTTGAAAAGCTGTCTTAGGGATGTTTTCTGCCCCTGATTTTTACTTGATAGTAACCTGAACGCATGTCTATTTTAGAGAATACCTAGGCACCCTGTAACTGATCGAAAAAGTCATCAATATTAGGGATGGGATACTTGTTCTTGATTGTGACTCTATTCAGACCTCTGTAATCAATACATAACCTCAGTGTTCCATCTCCCTTTCTAGCAAAGGTGACTCCAGCACCCCAATGGGACACACTATGTCGAATAAACTCACTGTTCTGCACTTCAGTGATCTGTTTTCTTAGTTCCTCCATCTCAACACAGGTCATGCAGTAAGGAACAACCGATATGGGTTGGGTGTCTGGCTGAAAGTTTATGGTGAATTCGACTTCTCTATCCACTGACAGTCTGGGTAGTTCATCCAGAAACATATCTGAAAAGTCTTGGACTACCAAAATCTCTTGAATATAAATTTTTTTCTTGGGTTTGACTAGTTAGAGAAAACAGCAGAGTTAAACTAGTTGATAATAAGAAAACTTGCCGTGAGGGAATAAATGTTAAATGATTTTATTAGTTTATGAACGGCTACTCATTAGGAGAATTGAATATAACCTTCTTGCTAAAATAATACATGGTGGCGTGATACACCACTAGTCAGTTCATTCCTAAAATTATATCAAAGTCTCCCGTGTCTAATTCTATTAGGTCCACACTCAATTTTT